AGTGTGGATTAAGAGCACCACAGGAGATGGTGTGTGTGTGTGTGTGTGTGTGTGTGTGTGTGTGTGTGTGTGTGTGTGTGTGTGTGTGTGTGTGTGTGTGTGTGTGTGTGTGTGTGTGTGTGTGTGTGTGTGTGTGTGTGTGTGTGGGGGGACTGAAAAGTCTACACAATGTCTCACACTCAATGTAAGTTGAATAGACAATATATGAGGCAGATCAAGGCAAAAATCTATTAAGATCACAAAGAAGGAGGTGTCATTGAAATGTGTGATTAGTGGACTCAAAATCCACATTCTTCTCATGTAATGAAACATGTGATATAGCTTAATTCTTTGATAATCTATGCGATTGGTGAATATTAGAGTCTCGAAGCCATCAACAGCTTTGATTCGAGCCCCATACTTTCTTTCTGTGCAAATTCACGCAGTGCAAGTGGTTTCTCAGGGAGCACTCGCTCCTTCATCAGCGAGTGTTTCAATGGAGGACTGTCATCTTATAAGTTCCTTTCAATTCAGATCTGTGGACTGAAGGCTGCACTCTTTAATACACTCTATGGTGCACACTTTCATCCACACGCTTGTGATCCTACAGGGACACAGAGGCATGGGAGCATATAGCTTTTGATAATCTATATGCCTTTAAGCTCCATGTCTTCTCTTCAATAATGTCAGCATGAGCAATATTTCTTCTTACATTTGGTGCAGGATGAAGGCAGCTATAGTGCTCAGCATGCACTATACTCTACGTTCAAATCCTTTTCCAAACATGCCTTTAAAGCTGCTATGATCAACATGTATAATTATAGTAACATAGTATAGTGACAATCTAATACAAATATTACTATCATCCTCATAAATCATGATAAAATATATCTCCCAGGCTGAATATAATTGTTTAGGTGCGCAGGCCATGTGCTGTAAAGGTTTTCTGGGAAGTTGATACAAGAAAACATTTAATGTTTTTCTTCTGTTTCTCCAGTTTGTATATGGGAGGAAAAGACTGGCTGCTATGCCCATCTTATAATAAATACTATAGTTATCATTATATATTAATCATCATCATATTTATTGCCAGAATCAGGAGTCCATTAGAAAACATTTATAAAGCAAACAAAAAAAAAGCACGGGTAAAAAGACATACAGACAAAACATCACTAATATTATATAAGACAGCTGTACCAGTGCTGCCACAACAAATGTTTAATACTGTTTCAAATTCTTAAGTCAAAGATGACAAAACACGTAAAGGCTTTATATGAGATTTTTTGATCCAGCAGATGTCGCCCTTGAGCCCCAGCATGAAACCAAAACAACTCGCGGTGCATTGTTGTGTTAGCATGCTAATGCTAGCGATCTTTATTATTATGCTCGTATCTTCACACTGCATGTAAATTTACCCGAAATGATCGTGTTCTAGAAACACTGTAAAGCAGTGAGTACAGTATGTTATTCTTTTTTTCTTTAGTCCCTCAATTAAACAACTTTTATTCACGAGGGGAGGAGTCAGCCGGCCGTCCTGGCGATGTAAACAAAGTGAAGATAGGACTCTGAAAACTCTGAAAGCATCACAGACAGTGGGACTCGAGCGTTACACCCACTGTAGACAGTCATGACTCACAGAGTTATTTTCAGAGGATATACTTGATTTCTATCATATTTAAGTGTGAAAAATCGCATATTAAGCCTTTAATTGAAGCAAACTTGAACACACAGATATGACACATGCAGTTGAAGTGTGATGTTCACTTTCTGCTGAATGTGTTTTATCATGGGTGTCCGTACCAAACGATCCCCCGTAAATCCACTCAGAGATGACAGAGAAAGACGCCTTGTCCGAGTCATGAGTCCAGACGGTGAGAATTATCTCAATGTTACATTCCCCGCTGTCTGCTGTACAGGATGACAGTCTGTAGAGTGCTGTTCTTCACAAATGTAGAATAATGGATGATATAAAAACCATCAAAAATACTTTTTACTCATGGTTTTGAGTTCACCGAAACGTAAACTATGATAACTTAACCGATTGAAAATTAGACGCTGATTAAAAATTCGCCCAATCTATATGAGTACGAGTTTTTGTTTATGGATAAGTACAGGCTTTTTGATTCCAGCCTGAAAGAAAAGCTGGATGTCTAAAGTACAACTCTGAGATTAGTTTACTCATATTATCCTTTCTGGAATAAATGTCAATACTGCAATGAATAGAATAGATGAATGGAAGGGATTTATTCTGGGTGTGCGTGTGTGTGTGTGTGTGTGTGTGCGTGCGTGCGTGTATATGTTGAGGCATCTGTCCAGCTAGGCCTGAGTGTTGATATTCACGCTGAGAGCTACATGCTGAGTCTCATCAGAATGTGTGGCAGCGTTGGCATTGGCGTGTAGAGGCTGGTTTAACCACATTTCAGCTACAGCTCTCTGTCATCCTCATTCTCACTCTGTTTATTTTTCCTCTCTCTGTCTCCTCTGCCTTCAGCGCATGAACCCTTTATTCGATCAATTAGTCCATGTGAAATATTTCTCCTCAAAGACCTGGCAAGAAACAAAGCAGTCATTAACTTGACAAAGAAAAGAAAACACAGTTTGAATTAGTGGTGTGTTTCAGCAGCTACATGACAGGAAACCATTACACAAGTTTATTGGTTCAGATCAATTTGAAACACTTTGTGATATTGTTGCTGAAAACATGGACATATTTTAATTTTATAAAGGGGTTTAATAAAGAGATTGACGATTCCGTTTATTTGTCATTTTCTTTGTTTATCTGTAGACATAAAAGAGACTAAATGCTGTTCTCACAACCCCAAAGCAGTGTGACAGAAAAGAACATGTCAAATACAGACATATAAATACACCACAAGCTATTTTCACACATGCATGTTGGTAATGTCTTTTCTAAAAAACACTGTATCAGCTTTAAACTAATGGTATTCAAGCAAAGATTCAATGCAGTAGTTCAATTATATGTTGACCTTTAACCAAAACCTTAGCAATCAGTATTTCATTTGTTTACAGATATTTTAATACAGTGGTTACTTAAACAAAAAGCTAGGCCTGAAAAGACAGAGACATTAGGGGCACCATGTTCCCCTTGACTTAAATATTGTGGTATATCATAGTATTTTTTAGAAATCAGGCACCTTCATCCTGTGAGTATAAGGCTGCCAGATAATTGCTAATACAGACCACTTGTAGGTATTTGGCCAGCAACACCAAGGAAACCAGAACTTTACATGCACATGTGCATTATCAAACTTTTAACTGTCACACTCACAACCATAGGGCGCCCCAGGTACTGGCGTAAAATTAATCTCTACTCCAGCTCCTCACAAATGTGATTATGTGCATATTTACATGTTTATAGTTGTACGATGGACCTCTTTGATTTTGGATTGTCCATCAGACAAATACAGCAATTTGTGAAAATGTCACCTGGGGCTCTAGGTAATTAAAATTGACATTTAATACAAATTATTTATCATTTATAAAGAAAAAATAAGACGGTTGAAACCCTTTGCACTCACAGACCATAAAAGACATAATGTAGAAAGAGAATAGAACAGAACATTACTGTTAGTGGAGCTTTATCTAATGGGCCTGCAGTGCTCATTGTAGTGGTTAAAACACTCACTGAAATGAGCACCTACAGACTGAGCTGAGATTTGACAAGTGTGGATTAAGAGCATCACAGGAGGGGGGGGGGGGGGGTAACATTTGTTTTAGTATAGCCTGAAAAGTCCATACAATGTCTCACTCTTCTAACCGGCAATGAATTAACCAGCCATGTGTCTGTTCCAGTCATGTAGTTAAATCTGAAATGCTGCCTTAAAACCAGTAACAGCAATGTATTTGTAGCTCTTCAGGTTAGCTTTTAACCCCTTTTTGTACACTGAATGTGGGAGAGGAGACGGAGCAGGTTAGCGAGTACTGAATTCTTTTCATATGAAACCTGGTTTGAGTCTAACTGCCCACAACTACAGTTTTTTTTTTATCACCTATTCAAATTCAGAGGATTAATGAAGTCCAAATGGGAATTCAAGTCAAAATAATGCAAAACATTACCGTGGGCTTACTGCTCTACCTTTTACCTAACATTCTCACATCTGCGACTGAGTCTGCACAGGTGTCCTCATGTTTTAGAATTAATTCAATTAGTTCATTTATTATAGAATTTAAAGAAGTTTGGATCAAGACTCAAAACTGTCTGTGGCACTGAAAATCTACCAAAGAGCAATTTAGTGTCTCAAAACCACTTTCACAAAAAAATGCCAACAGACTCACCTTTTGCACAAGTTCACATGATGTTGGATGGATGGCAAAGATGTGAAATGTTCCTATGGTTACGACTTTCAATCTTTTACATCACATAATAAAAATAATGCAATGTGTTGCTGAATAATTTGTGATGTGAGGGCTGCAATAAAACAAATAAAGTCACATCACTTTGGTTTTATGAAGCTTGGTTGATGTGAGGTGTCCATGTTTGCTTTCAATGTTTCCAGGTTCATTAAGCACCTTTTCTGTCGTTTTCTGCAGAACGACAGAAAAACACTTTTTTCTTTGTTGTTATTAGGCAAAGCTTTGTGAAATTAAGAATCTTTAAAAAAAACATAAATGACATAAATATTTCATGTGACATGAGATTATGCAGTGAAAATAATAGAAAGTCATGAACAAAGTTGAACATGGTATTGGTTACTAAATGGAAGTTGTAAATGGAGTGGTGAGATATCAGAAAACATCTAGGTATCTGGTTTTATGGTGCAAATGACTAAAAAAAGTATAATGACTTTTGATGTCAGTAGTTGGGCTACATTGATCTTTTTTATTCATTTGGTTAGAAGTATATTTAACATTGCGTCAATATGAAAACTGAATAACTGTGGATTTGGCTGCTGACATTAAACTGAACTGAATATATTTTTACTTACATTTCACACTTTCACTTTCTATCTGTCACACTGTTGGAAGAAGTGCTTCATTTTCTCATCTCTCTCTCCCTGCAGATGTGATTCACACAGTGGGGCCGATTGTACAAGGAGCAGTTGGAAAGGTGGAGAAAAAAGACTTGAGGTTGTGCTACGAAAACAGCCTGACAGAAGCCACCAAGAATGAAGTTCGCTCTGTGGTGAGGATGGAGGGATGAGATGAAGGGATGGTTAAAACCAGGACAACCGGGAGGGAAGAATGAAGAGATAGCAAACCTGTGGTTGTTGTAGTAAAGAGAAGAAAGGAAGATAATGTTTAAAACCATGAAGATTTTTTTTTACTAAACTATATTCAGACTGAGAGAGATGGAGAGGGAAACAGGAGGGGTGGGTGGGATTGTTGAGTGTAAGAAGTTTATAGGAATCACAGCAGGTGGGAGGTTTCACTACAGCACAAGGTGTTTAAGTCAGAGAAAAAACACCAAAGCAACATAAAGGGCACCAAGTAGAGTGCAGATCTCCATCAGATGGGATTTGGGGCAGGTGTAAGGGTAGATAAAAGAGGGCAGGGCAGACTTTGTGTCACATGTGTGTGCATGAGAGTAGTGTAATAAACACACCACACCAAGCTTTCCCCCTCCCAAACACATGACAGTTAAATCTCACTAAATCCCCCCTGTTTTCTTGTCACTGTATGCTTCTTCCCACACTAATGCATACTTATAAACTAACCGTTATCTGCAGAGGGCACATTCTGCTGAGGGAACGCGCTCTGACACATCAGCTGCCTTTCAGTCAGGATGGTGGCTACATCATTAAAATGGGGATTCATCTATTGCAGTGTGCCTAATTTTTAGTTGATCACATTGTTTTGGGAATAATCTGTTGATAATCTGATTCAGAATGAGAGCATATATTTGTGTAGTTTTTGCAGTTTTTGCAACAACACAAAGTCAAATGTGTGGCTTCAGCGTACTAGGAGAGGATTGTGTTCATCCTAAATGACATGATGGGTAAACCAACAAAGGCCTTTCAGCCTCTTGATGACATCATTGGGTTGTTTAAATCAATGCTGCTGCAGTCTTTGATTAAATAAATACAAACCACAGAATACATTTAGAACTTAACCAAAACAAGGTTGTCTAAAGCAGAATTCAGGATTCCAACCTGAAACAGTTGTTGATCACTTGAGGCCACCAGTGGCCTGTTAAGTGAAGAGTGAAGGCAATGATCGATGAAATGGAGATGTCAGAAATGTTTTTCAAAAACTGAGATCATTGCTTAAAATACCAGTGGTTACATTAGAGTAGAAACATTACTTTGCGCAGAAGAAATTCAGCCGTTGGGTTCACTCAAAAGGGGTTAAAACAAGAGACAGACTGTGAGGATCTTTTGGTTGTTCTTCATTTTAGTGACCCCTGTGTGGACACAGCAGTGCCTCTCATGTCTTTGCTGATTTTGTGATAATGTGTAAGTAGTGTTTAAGTAAAATCTCACCCTACCGTCTTTTAAAAAGTCAGTCTTAGGGGCGGGACTCGAGCGGCAACCTCCGGTGTTGAAAAATGCTGCCAACGCAGAAATGCAAAAAAAATTGTAGTTGCTCGAGGGTCCGCCTGAGGCTGGCTCCAAGACACCAGGAAGTCACATACACATCCCATCCCAGCATATATGTTTACAGCCTGTTACAAAAAAAAACGACTTTGGTCTGATTAGTTAATGTCTTCATTGGCACACACTGTACCGGGGTCCATTTTTTGTATAACTCATCCGTTATTATTTTTTGAAGGATCCGAGTTTTGCGTAGTTAGGCGAGTGGCTGTTTGACAGACGAGCACGACGTAGCGGATTGTCACGAGGCTGAATATCCGCCTCAGCTTTTAGCCCGTTGTTAGGTAGACTGAAAGTTAGAGTAGATTGAGTTAACAAAGTTAGTCTCCTTGTCAGACACCTTCCCCGTCTTTATTCAATGGTCTTTTTTGTTTTTGTAGCAAATAATAAGGCATTTATATTTACTTCAATTTGTTTCATAACCAGCTAAAAACTCCTTACAGGAGCTTTAATTGATACCTTAAATACATCACTCTATGTACATACATTTTCTAGTATGGCATAATGTATTGATTTGTTTCATATTGCAGTATACAGTTGAATAATTGTCTTTTTATGTAGAGCCCAAAATCCCAAATTAACTGTCACTTCTCTAATTGTGTCATTCTTGATACAGACTGGACTTTTCAATACAACCTTACTTCACCAAGGGAACTTTTTTTTCCTTTTTTTTTTAAAACATTAAGCCCCATGAGCTTCACATTTGAAGTGCACTTTCACTGACTTCTATGTTTCCCTTTCGTCTTGAGGAACTTGTGAGTCGTGTCTGCTCTCACCCCGAGTTGCCAGCTTCACAATCTGGTCAAACGTACAGATCTGGAGTCTCAGAAAGCATCCAAGCATCTGCTCGTACGGCAGCGTTTGACAGCAGGTTGAGGATCTGCCAGGTTTGATTTACTTTGAAGTTTCCTGGCTGCTTCTCTCAGCTCAGACGTAGTGGTGGAGCATGAACCTGCCTGACATGTATCTCAATTAGATACAATTAAATCCCTCTCCTTTCGGATATTAAGAAACATTTTTTAAAACTGTGTATGATTAACACTTTCAGCATGTGTTGACAGTCAGTGATCACCTCAGCATTTATCAGCTTTCATGTTTTTTTTTTTAAGAATCTGCTTTTGATTTAAGTCTTTTGCGTCTAGCATTGAGGAGAAAGCTAAAGTGTTGTCAATCAACAAAAAGACATGTGGGGACTAGTACTAAAACAAGTTGTTTTGTTCTTTCTTTCGCTTTTATCATATAGCAAGGATAGAGGAGACTGGAAACATGTGTAAGAAGGAGAAATACAACACATTTCCCCAACAGGAGAAAGAAACAATACAAGATTCAAACCATGGGATGTTGTGTTTCATGGTCTGAATCTTCAGCCCTCGGAGAGTCTTTCAGGACATAAAAAAAATTCTTTACAAGCGTTCAACTGCTGCAACACAGGAGGCTTTTAAAGTGAAATAGCCACGGTGAGCTGTTCGATAAAGAGCTGCAGGTGAAGGCTCTTACTACAACAACGCCTTTTACAAATCTGTCCTGTTGTGAAAACCTGATCACAGCATGCCCTGTGTGATGGAAAAAGATGATTATTCGCTGAAATACCATACCTTTTTACTCTAGTGCGGTGTTGAAAGTAACTCTGGGACCTGTGTTGTTTAACCATTCCTGCTGTTACCAACAGAAACCTCCGACATCACCGAATTGAACAGGACGGAGATGTCATTTAAAAACTTTCTTTTGCAATAACTTAGAATTTGAAGTGATATTTTCCTCTTTGGTTCACATCATTACTTTACTAGTGCAAAACAGTCCTTTTTACTCCAAACATCCATGACAAAGACAGCTCGTCAGTTTGGTCTATAAATAGATGAAAGTCAAAGAAAGATGTAGGCTGCTATTTAACACAATTAAGAGAAAGACTTCATGGAGCTCCAGCAGAGAGTGGGCTTTTTGTGCACCATGGGTGTATGTACTTTATTGTGGGTGTGTGTATTTTGTGTCCAAGTGTGTGTGTGTGTGAGAGTGTGAAATAACAGCTGGTTGTTATGTGATCAGCAACAAACTGTAACCACTTTGTCTGTCATCTTTCCTCTGCAGGCTTTCCCTTGCATCTCCACTGGAATCTACGGTCAGTGTGTGTTATGTTCATGTGTGACTCTTGGTAAAAGCAGTACAAATCTATGACATTTACACTTGTGAAGTATTTGTTGTTATTCCATGTGTTTCGGGTGCTTGAGGCTTTATATTCAATTCAACTCGTTTTTTTTCCCTTTTGAGTAAGAGAGAAAAACATCATTTTTTACACAACAACAACAACAACAACAACAACAACAACTCTGAGTCCAGCAGATTAAACACTGTGAACATTGGCTGGGTTTTCCATCATGTGCTTGTTCTCATTATCAGTCTTTCTCTGTTTAACCAGAGTGCCATGCTGCCTGGTGCCGCTTGTTACATTATCTGCTGCAACCCAGAGGTGGTTCTCAGATTAAGGCCTTGGATTAAGACCAGCAGATTAAAATAGATTAGGCCGGAGATTGTGTCAGATTGACCGTAATCCCCCTTCACACTGGTAGGGGAGAGAGTTAAGGACAGTGTTTACACGCTCCCTGGGGTGGGTTTGGGTGTCAGGGCAGCTTGTTGACACTTGTCAGCTTTGCTAGAAAGAGGAAGAGGACACCGCTCAGATTGAGTCTGTGAGAAATCTTCTCCTACAGTAATACACCCTTTTTTTTTTCCAAGTCTCACAAATTATTTTTTTTCAAGACTTGAAGTATGAGAATAAATATCTTAATTGCTTAACAGTTTTTAAAGCACCCACTCACTGTTTTACACCGACTTATTCGTGTGGAGAAATTAAGAAAATGATAAAAGGATGTTGCTACAATACTGCACAATACTACATGAAATCTACCTAGAATTTATTTTGGAGCCCTAAAAAATTTATATATTCGGATCAAATGAGCAAACCATTAGAGGAAATAATATCATCACCGTACTTCAAAGGCACACAATACTGCTCTTTCAGGCAGTGCTCACACACACACACACACACACACACACACACACACACACACACACACGCAGGTGTTTTCAATCAATCCGTATTATTATACCTTGTTCCTGTTCAGGTGAGAGGTGCTATGCTGCGAGTTACATAAGGCCACTAGACTCTTTGTTTTTGCCACCTTGATTATCTTCTGCATACATTGGTTATTGTAAAACAGTTATTTTATTTATTTATTATAATTCTAAGGGTACTTAATTAACTATTTTAAAACACAAGGAAACACTTTTTTCATGGGTGATAAAATGTGAGAAGTAAATCATTAACATGATCTTAAAGCTTTAAATTCAGCAGAATGCCTGGGCACTATTATGAATGGCCAATTATTCTGATGTCTTCTTAAATGTATACTTACCCATGAAGAATGTATGAAATATATATATGTATAGTAAATGACTCCCATTAATTTCATGAAGTGATGATCAGAGAGGTCATACAGCAGCTAAACTAGATAGTGATTTAGATAATGATCTGTGTATGTCAGTAGCATTAGTGGAGGGGATACAGCTTTAGGTAAAGTGTGAGTGTTAACTATTAGCATTGGACTGTGAGTTCAGGAACACATAGTCTCAGCTAATCAGTATGTGCATGCTAACTGTGTCATGGATAGATATGAATTTTGTGACTCACCATTCAGTTCAAATGAGTCATTTTTAGGTTGGTTAGACTTTTTTTTCTACATGATGAACATACGCTCTCGATGACAATAAGGTAGACGTCAGTCCAAATGTGACACCTCCAAAGTCTTCAGAAATTGAATAAATGGTCAAATTAACTGTGTTTTATGAATGTTATGAACAACTGTAAATCTTTTCTAATTAGATATCTGTGGGTGTTTAATGAGACTCTTTGCTTCGATATCATATATTGCTATTGTAAAAATAATTTCCAAAGGCTATAATTAACAAAGTTAATAACCTTCAACATATTATTTATGCTTTGGTTGCTTCCGGCACATTATTAGCGAAGATGGTGAACATTTTACATCTTTAAGAAATGCATTTTCAGCTCCCAAAATCCCTATAATATTTTTGAATTTGAATTTAGAATTTAAATGTTGAACTAAAAGAGCTGAAAAGGGCAACCAGTGTTAATAAAGCAAACACATTTCTATTTTTTATATTTTTCAGTAATGTGATTTATATTTACAGTACAATGTATAATAACAGTCAACCTCTTATCATCTGAATACTGCATGTGTCTATTTTACTGTTGGAATAAATCTATTTTTCAGTGCTAATTTGTGCCCACATGTATTCCCCCATGTTGCAGCCTCTCTCCTGATGTATGGAATAATTACTGTATAATCACACAGTATGTGTTTGTTCGGGCTGAGCAGTTTGGCCAGATGATGCATTTTTTACTGCCTGTGTGTTGAGCTTCCAGCAGTGGGGATAATTTTCCAGCACTGAAAGGTCTCGGTTGCTGGATGAATATGGAAGAGATTGTGTAGTCCTCCTCCATCTGTCTCCTAGCTTGTTGTAACCAACAAGTATGTTGTGAATGCATCACTTCTGAGTATGCAAGTCAGGTGGAAAGGAAAGTGAGAAAACACAGAACATGGAAAAAAAGAACAGATACCTGTTAGCGCGGGAAACCAACTAATGCAAACACACTGCACCTGTTTCTGTGTTTTATTTTCAACATTGTGTGTATGTGTTGTGTGTGATTGTGCAGGATATCCAAGTAAGCAGGCTGTGCAAGAGGCATTGGCAACTGTGAGGGAGTATCTGGATAAACATCATGACAAGGTGGGTATGCATGCATACGCACGTGCTTGTGTGTGTGTGTGTGTGTGTGTATGTTTGCTATGTGTGCATGATTGGCAATTTTCCACTTCCATTTCCTCTAGGTATCATTCCTTTCACAGCTGTTGTTTTTGTTTTCTGGTGGGAGCGAGGAGAAGGGTGTATTGAGAAAACACACACATGCACACTCAGGGACACACACATACACATTCATTTAAGCACAAACACTCCTGGGTTAGGGCTCTCGTGCTCATGGCCAAGTCTGTGTTTTAATTGGCTCCTTACGGGACGAAACTCAACTTACACACACATACACACACACACACACACACACACACACACACACACACACACACACACACACAACACGCTCTCTCTCTCTGTCTCTCCGGAGAAACAGCAAGCTGAGAAAAGACAAAGTGATGGAATAGATGACTGGAGGGGAGGGACACAGTGGGGGGGGGGGGGGGGGGGGAACAAAGAGGAAACTTTCCAATCAGTCGTTCACATGCTCTAAACTCTCCTCCTCTCTTCCTCCCTAACTTTCCAGGTCTCCTCCCACTCCTCTTTTCAATCTCTCTCTCTCTCTATCTGAGCAGCGTGCTGTATCACCTCCCTGTGAGGTTGTTGACGATGTTATTGTTAGCGCTTTAGTCTCCCGGGTCTCTGCAGCAATACTAGTCAACTTATGCCATCAGCCTGAGACGAGCTCGACAAACAAGCATTAAACATCTCGCGTCTCACCGTAGAGGCCGACAGTCAACAAAACATAAACGACACAAAATAAGACCAGCGAGCAAAATCAACAAAACTCTTATTTACACCCTGCCCACAAATGCTTCCACTGTGTGTTTGTTTAAGGGGATGGAAAAAAAGTTTTATTGTGAGCAAATGAGATTGAGGGACAGAGTTTATTTGCATACATATAAAGTGAGACTGTTCACCAGAGGAAATTGAGTTCAATCTTTAATTGAGCCCCTTCCCGCTGCACGTTTTTTACAGTGTGTTTTGTTGGGCTTGTGCTGGCTTAAAGAGCTGTAATGTAGGAAATGAAATTGAAAATTACAGACGCAGTGGGAGACAAGATGGACTCCAGTCACAGGGCAGTGTGCCAGAAGTCTGCATCAAGTGTAATAACAAAACATGAATCATTTATTCCTGAATAACCACATTGGTAATAATGGAGCTCATAAGTTTTATAGTTCTTATATTCAGCCAATTAGATTGACTGTAAGGTTCCCAGAAAGCTTTAACAAAAATAATGCATGACATTTGACAAAACAGCCTGTCTGAAATAGAACAGAATAGAATGTCCTTATTGTCATTATACAATGTACAACGAAATTATAAAGCTTCACCTTAAAGTGCACACAGATACAGTCATCCACAGGTAAAAACAACAAAAACTCTCATTCAGGTAAGATGGGCAATCAATGTATGTGTAGAAGTATTTACATGAGGTAGTATAAAAAAGTGTCTTGCCAGGTAACAAAATCTAAATAAATCTAAATATTGCGCATGTAGAGGAAAAATATACTGTTGTATCAAAAAAAAGAATATATATATATATATATTGCACAAGGAGGAATTATATTGGTTTTTTGTGTGTTTGTGTGTGGTGAGGGTGGGAGGACATTAGGGGCTGAAGATATATGATCTTCACCGTCCCACGTTCATGTACGCCATCATTAAATAAGAGGACTTTACGCCAATCAGTTAGATATGAAGCTTTTTGGAGATCTTAAGAAAAGGCAGACTTTCCTTCTTGGTAGGAAAACGGAAAAGTTATCTAACTGAGAATATCTGCCAGAAAGAGTTAGCAGCAGCCATGGGCTGAAAAACAACTTGATTACAGCACAGTTAAAAATAAAGACCACTGACTACCAGGCAGACAGTTTGATTTCATACACGTGGTGAATGTGTATTTTGATATAGAGGTAGGTCATAATCAGAGGTACAGAACATCGTAAGTGTCCGTGTCAGTGTTTTAAACAAATATAGAATGATCATTTTGATCGTGGTTTAAACCAAGTAGCCACACGTGCTAGTCCTTCTAGCTCACTTTATGTAGAGAATAAACAAACTGTTTCAAAAACACAGAATCGGCTTCATACACTTGAGATGTAAACCGACTCTGACCTCAAAGATGTGTCGGTTAGCTTAGATTGGCCCCTGCCTCCGCTGTTCAGAGGTGAAGTTTAGAAAACATTCGAGTAGATATTTACAATGAACAGAATCTTCAGCTCTTCAGCCAAAATGTTCATGATAACAAATGTAAATTTGACCATAACTGGCAGATCTGTCTGCTTCTAATGAGATGTTTTCTAAAGCTCCAGAGCAGTTATTAAATGGACCCAGGTTGTTCATGGCTATTTCAAAATGATAATGTTTTACATTTATTTAATGGGAATATGGTAACACATGTACTATTAAATAAAGGTAATGTTGTGGGTTGACAAATATACTGTAGGACTTAATGTACTTCATGTCTATTAGTTCAAATATATTCTCCATCACAGATCAGTGAGCTGAAGTCTGTGCAGGGTGTGAAAAATAAACTCTTCGGCAGACAGATTTTCTGCTTGAGAAGGGAACATTTTCAGACTGTTTCCTGTAAGACCATCAGTTTTAAGAGAGCCATTTTCATTCTTTGTTGTTTTTATTGTTAGCTTTGGCATCTCCAGGGTCCATTTTGCAACAGCATCAAAATTAGCTCCCCACTGCTACTGATTTCTGGAGGCCATTTTACATCTCTCCTCCCAAGCATTTGCTTTAATTTGAACGCATGAGGCTGCAAAATGGCGCAAGTGGATGCAACTGTGGAGGTCTGGGATTTTGGAACCTTGGCCCAGGGGATGTAGTTACTTACCACACATTTCCATATCTTTCCTTTAAGCCTCCATGCATCCAAACTGTGGCAAGTGATGGTAATTGTGCAACAAGCTGGGAGTGAAAAACGCAGACTGCAGGCTAACAGGCTGCAGAAATGTCTGTATTTGAAAGCAATAAGACTTAAACTCCCACACCAAGCACAGAGTGAAAGAAACAGCCTGGCTATAAATTTGCACTGCCTACAAAATAGAAGAATCCAAACCGTTGTAGAGACATATACTGGAATAATGTTTGTGAGAGTCTGAGAGAGAGAACACACAGTGGCGCTTCTATCCCTTGAAGCCTTTTTTTTTTTTTTTTTTACTGTCGCTACAGTACTTTTAATCATTTGGCTACATATAGTACTGCTACTTTACAGTGTGTCTGTCAGAATATTATGGAGTGCTGAGGAAGGATCTAAAGAAGAGTACAGAGCACAGACTCAGAGCTTAAAGATTGTTTTTGGTTATAAAATAGCTGACCTTACTCGACCAATGTCATTAATGCAAATCTATTATAGCTCTCTATGCTCTGTGTGTGTGTGTGTGCGTGCGTGCGTGCGTGCGTGCGTGCGTGCGTGCGTGCGTGCGTGCACACACATTGAGTGTAACACTGAGGGGATGCACAAAACGAAACCATACAAAGTGACTTTCTCTCTTACACACACACACAAACATCTTTAGACACAAACACAAGGATACGATACAAAAGGACTCACTGCACAGAAATCTGTCTTTCAAACCCCCCACCCCCTCTCTCTCTCTCTCTCTCTCTCTCTCTCTCTCTTTACACACACACACACACACATGCACTGTCTCTCTTTGTACATTTGCAGCACTCTGTGATGCCTCACAGTGTAATAAGCCTTGTGTTGTGGCATGATCATAATAGGCTGCTAATAGAGGAGTAATGGACTGATGCATTTGCTGCATTCTCCTGATATCACTGCTGCACAATGTCACACACTGCTACATTATTCCCCTCCTGCTATTGATGAATACACAGTTATTACATATGCTTGTAATAAAAGACCATTGTGTGTGTGTGTGTGTGTGTGTGTGTGTGTGTGTGTGTGTGTGTGTGTGTGTGTGTGTGTGTGTGTGTGTGTGTGTCAGCTGGACAGAGTCATCTTTTGTGTGTTCTTGCCGACGGATAAGGAGCTGTATCTGCAAAATCTCCCGCTCTACTTCCCTGCTGGTGAGTTGTCTCTCAGTCACAAACACACACACCCCCCCCCCCCCCACACACACACACACACACACACACACACACACACACACACACAAATACACACACATACTGTACAAACACAAAAATGTCTAGATGCAGTGATGACAGTTCAGTCCAGGTCAAATTAACTACACACACAGAAACAGACACACACTGTGATAAATACTTTGCATCATACACTGTGTGCTTTTTGCACATGCAGTACATTTACACACACAAGACCAGAAACATCAGACTATATACATGTATACCACGCTTCATTGAGTTAAATATCATTAAATAAACATTATCTCTGCTCCACAACATACAAGCATGTATGCAGAGACTTGTGTAACATTCAAATACACAGGCACATAATATATACACAGCATTGTGTTTATTGGCATGGCCTTTTTCAGCTGACTATCTGAATTGATTGCCCTGTTGTCGTTTCACTTGTGAATCTGTTTGTTTGATTCATTTAGTCGTGTAGTTTCAAATTCCCATGATTGATTAGAGCTGTATTTGTGTCTGACATTTATTTTGGTGACTTAAGACACGGTGTAATATCAGAGTTCTTGGTGGATGCACTTGTGATATGATTACTACAGTCTGGTATCATTTCAGTAACGGAGAAGAAAAACAAATATTTTCTTCTTTTTTATATTGAGCAACTAAAAATTAGATATTTTCTACGTTTCTATTCAACTGTGTTAATTGGAACCGATGTATTCACATTCATCAGCTGCATGTACAATAGAGTAGTGGAAGAGCACCATCCACACAAGCTTCAGGGACACATGCAGGATTTAAAATGTTGTCAGAATCCTGTGATGGGATCCAAACATTTGAAGTTTATCATAATAAGAAAAAAGAGTAAGAGGAGTTATGTTACTTCAATCTAAAGTGCACAAGTTACACGTCGGTTTCCCTAAAACACTCATTACCACTGTTTTGTGAAGTTCCAGATTTGTACACATAAGGTAATGAATTCAATTCTCACATGTAAATGTCTTTAGCACTCACCTCCAAAGTGTCTTCCATTACATCTGGATTCCATCAGTATGTGACAGGTGACAGCTGTTTATGTGTCTGTGTGGAGACAAGACAAGGTGTGCTCAGTCACAAGCCAAGTTTCTTTTACTTACATCTATAATTATAAAAACAAAAACAAAAGATTCACACAAGAAAAAATCTGCAAACCAAATCAAGAATTTAAGGCTGACATTTTGAGATGATTAGGACCGAGTTTATCCACATAATCACTTTTTTTTTTACAATCTGTGCCATTCAACAAATACATTTAAATAAACGTTAGCCAATGAAACACAACTAATGAAAACCATGTTGGAAAACCTCCACGCAAATAGCAGCTTTTTAAAATGTTTCTGTTCTGTCTCCTCATCAGTCTTAGAAGAACTGATATGATGTCCCTTCAGTGAATGTTGAAGTTACAAACTTTATGTCCGTCATGATTAACTGTCTCATCTTGTTTTCATTTGACTTTGTTACATGTTTTAGCCAACTGTAAAAAAGGACTTATTTTACTTGTGTTTTTAATCGCCATTTACAAAAAAAACCCTGTGTGTTTGTGAGAGTTTTTTTTTTTTCATGTGCAGTGTTGGCCAGTTGACATGTGAGGACATGTCTTAGTCAGTCATCTGTGTTTGGCCTTATGTTTTTTTAGCCTGACCCGCGACTACAGCTAATTGCTCAGGTAACCAGCATGGTGAGTAGGAAAACGTCTGTTCTCTGCATCATCGACTGGACTAAATAACATTTGGTAATGAGGGACGTTGATAATAACCACTGAGTGAAATGAAGATGACGTGTTCATTAATGGACACCCTAACAATTCCACCAAACAGCACTATTCATAGTCTGGAAATTATTAGTGTGTTTCCACCTTGGTTTAATGAAACTTGCTGCTGTATGCCTTCTTTGCATTCTTTAATATAGGTTATGGAAATTACAAGTTAACAAAATGTCACTGAAGAAGCAAATGTTCAGATTTATTTTTTTTCTTGAGGGTGAAGTGTCGTGTTTAAAAGTAATAGAAATTAATCCCAATGTTTTTTTCCTCAGTTTACCAGTCCTGTCTCAAAATGTACATAAAGGGTCTTTTGAGACATCATTGCAGATTTATGTGAACGGTTAAATGAAGTTTAGCAAATACGTAAATTTTATGTTGGCTCAAGCTGTGACATGATGACTTCACCCATTTGTTTTGATTGCACTGGTGATTGATAGTGTTGTAAAGCCCGGCAGTCTGGGCTCCTAAGCATGATCAGTCATTCACTCAATTATTCAAATTAAGGATTGGTATTACAACTGCAGACTTAACCTCTAATGTGCAGCTTTACCACGGCTATAAATCAGACTCACCTCTCGCCTCACTTTGTTTTGTGTGTGGGAGAAAACCGACCATTGTAGGAACTTTTCTTTTTTTTTGTATGATTTGGCACATAGCTGCTGCCAAAGCTAAACTTAACCAGAAACACAAATCCTACATGTTTTCTCCTCCGCAGGGCTGCAGGGTCCTTCATCGAATGTAGTTAAACTATTTCCTTTTACCTGAATTATTCAGGGAGAGCTTGATCAATCATACTTACATCTCAATGCACAATAAGAAATGTGTAAAGAAAAAAATGTGGACCTGAATCATTGTCGAGTCGTCTGCCAGTCTTAGTGTGTTCTTTTTTTAATCTTCTTTATCTTTAATTTACTCTTTCAAGAGTTTTTCTTTGTTACGGAACAAAATGTACTTCAAAAAACACCAAAGATTAATCACAACACAATCTAACGCAGTGAAGCGAGGTTGACACTGAAACCAAAGCAGGGAGTGTTGTGTTTAATTTTGAATGAGGACACATTTCATGGGCTCAGTTAAGTAAAGTCAAACAACTGAGAAACGTCTGTGGGGTTCAATATATCAGTCTTTGTAGACGTAAAAGGCAATTTAACATTTCAAAGCAATATAGATATTGTAAAGTTTGGATGACATTTAATAAGTCAATTCTAAGCTATACAGCAACAAAAAGATTACACAAGGAAAGGAATAATTCTCTTCCAAACATCAAACTAAAAATAAACCTATGAACTTAAGAATTTCAGTGTTTTTCTCTCTGGCAGACAAGGAGCTGAAGAGGAGCAAGAGAGCAAAGAGGGGAAGTCGATTAAAAATAAGAACAGAATCCAATCAACTTAGCAGCCAAATCTCTCACATAAGCTTTAAACTTAGACAGTGGGTTAAGACTCTTAATATTTTTTTATCTTTTTGCAGACAGATCCGACCAGTAAGTGTCCGATACCAGGAAGGATTTCTCTCTCATTTCAATTCCAGCCTCGGGGAAGATCAATTGCTAAAAAAATAATGGGTTCTCAAACTGGGGTGCCTTTGCATTCTCTACTTGATTAAAATGCAGAGTTTGATGAAGAGTGTTTTTTAGATTAAAATGTAACAACCACTAAGCAAAAGTAACCACCTAACACTAACACATAATATGCATTAAGCATGAGCTTGAATGATCTGGCTCTATTTTTTAGATTTTGTCAACAAACCCATGAACATGTGAGTAGCATAGCAACAACGACGTCCATTGATGTCCACAACTACAAATAAGCCACATCACCACAGTTGGTTCAGGTCTTCTCTTAAATGTTCTCAACACTAAGGAAATGATGGTAAAACAACCTCCTTATTCCTAACTGTACAGCATCTTACACACAGAGCCCATTTTAGCTGCAGCCAAAATTCTTTCTGTGCGAGGACGATATCTAATGTAAAATTTGCCCGAATGCGTTTTTTAATTTGTAGTGTTTCACTACTATTCATCGTCACTTAAATAAAACCTTAACATTAACAACTGATCAAAGTTTTAGAATTAATTTGAAAGGATTCTTAGTTTCAACACGATTTAGCAACTTTAAGCCAATTAGAGCAGGTCATAGAGTCAGCTGTTTTTAAGAAGAAAAAAAACCACTATAATCCGACAGTTTGTCTTCCATCTTTTATGAACTCAAAGGAACATGGACACATTTTGTGACTAACTTGTGTGAAGAGAAGTATTTGGCATCTAAAATGGCATTCAAATTAAAATATCTTCTATTTATTTGGGCTGCAGTAGCTCAGTCCGTACGAACTAGAGTTGGGAACTGGAGGGTCATCAGTCCAAGTCCCGATGTGAACCATAATGTGGAATTGGTCTAGTAGCTGGAGATGCGCCAGGTTCCTTGAGCAAGGCACCGAACCCCCAACAGCTCTGGTGCGCTCCCTGCATAGCAGTGTTAGCAGCCCCACTCAGACATCTCTCCACTAATACATGTCCACAGGTCCTGTTTGTGCATGTGTGTGACTCAGGCCTATGTGTGTGAGAAGCATGTCTCTCATAACAGAGTGTAAAAAAACAGAATTTCCCTCATGGATTTATAAAGTATTTCTAAAACATCTGAAGTTCGGGGTTACTCATTTAAGATCATTTTTGCATTGCAAAAAAATATATATATATATTATATATTACATATTTTCTAAATCAGTGTAGCTCTTTTTTCATGTGGATATTTGCAACGTATTCCTGCCATAATGATTTTAAGGTCATATCAGTGTTATGTTAAGAGCGTGGTCCTAAGCCCCCTGCTTGACAAAAGAAAATAAATTCATGCTGCTTTAAAGGCTGACATTAGCATCAGGTTGTAAAAATGCAGTTATTTCAGGGTTAAAGGGGTTTGTTATCTTAGCTCTGTGATGAAGCTTCCACTCAACCTGCTGCTGTTTCAAACTGTGATGCAGCATCATCTCCCTTGAAGCACACAATCAGAACCTTCAAATCCCCTGAACGCAGATCAGTTAACATAAAAGGATGTTTTTTCTATAAGCGCAGGTGTGTCCCTTTAAAAAAAAAAAAAAAAAGACTGCGCTAGCGGTTGTGTCTTTGTCCTCTAATGGATGTGCGGCCGATTTCCTAGCAGCAGTGAGTGAGCAGCGCTGGTGTTTGGCTGGTAGATGTTCCAGAACTGTCTTTGTGTGTGACAGAGCAACTGCAGGCAGGTTTCCAACTCTCCACTATAAACCTTATGTGTCTCCAAACACCTGGCACTACCCACAATGGCTGTCTGTTTTCATGTGTATGTGTGTGTGTTTGCATGTTTTTGAGTGTGTCTTTAGCCATGTTGGACTGAGAGTGACTAATCCCGGGTAACAGATCCCTTTGAAGCAACCAGGCGCTCCAAAGGCCAAAATGCTATTAACCGCTGAATGACCAAGGTAAAGAGGTCTCTTCCCTTGTCCTAAAAATGTTCCTTTTTTCTCTTTTATTTCCCAACAGATGCCACGGTGAAGAGTAAACTGTGAGAGGGGATTTGTCAGTTCTGGTTGCTGTGGATACCGCTGCTACGCTCAGCATCCAGATTCCTCCTGCTCGCTTTGCCTCAAAAAATCAAGAACTCCTAAATGGATGATTTCTTCTTTAGTGCACACTGGCTCTTCTGCAGATCTTCTCTGTGTTTCTCACTAATGATTTAGGTAACGAGTAGACGTTGTGTAAAGGTGTGAGTTAATATGGATGAATTGACCTTCAGCTGCACTCTAATTTGACCTTTATTGTCTGCGATCATTCGTAGTTTTGCATCAAGCTATTACAATATTAGGATTCTAGTGTGTGTTCATGTGTGTGAGACAATGACAAAAGCTCATTAAAACCTTCACACGGGCTCCTGGTGGGTATGAATTGATTATTTCTCGGGATGTGATACAAGTCAGTGAGCTGAGGCATCACAAGGGAGACATTTACATGAATATTTTTTTCTTTCGTTTTCTTTGAGTCTGTGTGTGGCGGAGACAATAAAACACTTTTTAAATCCTTAAACATTTGTGGACAGTGATGTACCTTTATACTGAGATGGTTATTATTAGCTTGTTATTGAACTGAATGAGATTTTATGTGGAAAACTATCTGATTCTCACAATTGAAGATTCATTGGATATATAAACTACAAAAAAATTACAAAAATGTTAAGTTTATGTTATAATTTACAATATAGCAAATATATTAAAATTCCATATATGATAATGAAATGGTAATGAACTATGTTTTACTGTTAAGCATTACATTAGCTAAAATCTTAGCTAGCTTTGAATTACTAGCTCAGTATTTCATTTATCATAAATGACTACCTGAAATAAAAGATAAAATAGAATATCAAGTTGGGTTCATTCTGCAACATAAGTACTTTTATTTTGATACTCGTTTCCTCTTCTCTTCTTTTCTTTTGACCTTTGGTGTCACTACATTGACTCAGTTACACAACTAGTAACTTCATTACTCATTCATATGGAATATGTTTGTAACCACTTGATGATTTATAGATCAGTATTAACTCTTATAGCTCTGGTTTTGTCTTCAGCCACGTTGTGTTCCACAGCTCGTCTCACAGGTCTGCTCTGTGTGTCTGCTGTGAGGGATGAGCAGGTTGTGTGTAATTGTCAATCACCTGCATCTCACTCTCTGAAGCTCCGTGAGTCTGAGGTGGGATACATTCAGGTGATCATTCTCTTCAGGTTCATTTCATGCAACAGCTTTCACAATTTTCCTCGCCTCATTTTTTACACTCGTTCTTTATAAGATATCGACTTTGGTTGTAATACTTCTGATCTTTTCTTCATTCAAATATTGAATGAATAATTTTGTATTTAGCATGACATAGTAATGTTAGTATTTATACTTAAGTGAAGGACCATGATGCCTCTACTGCCAACAATATCATTTTGCAGTTTTTTTTCTTTAGCTTCCCTCAATTGGGACGACCGCAGCACCTGTTCACTTTTCAACAGCATCAACCGTCCCCCCTTACTCTCTTTTATTTTATTTTCTTTCCATGCTGTCCAAATCCCATCTACCCAGGCTGCCTGTCGGCCTGTCAGAACCCCACCATATGTGTATTTATGCCAGCACCATTGTGCTATTCCCTGCAGCGCATTTGCATGAGTTTTTAATTGTTTGTTGCAGGATGTAAGCGTCACGTGTCAGAGGGACTCGGGCGGTGATTTGTGTGAAGTGAATTGAGTGTTTAGCAAGACTCCGTCCCACCCCTAGACTCTCATCTGCCAACAAACATCTTTATTGATTCCAAACAATATGTCACAGAGGCACAGACGCACGGGGAGGAGGAGGTGGGACAAAGGAAGGAGAGAGGCATTAGGGGAAAAAATGAACTACAAAGACTATCAACAGGAAATTGGGGGAAAAAGACGCCTTTTTTGTTTTAAAGCGTCATCTGTTGCAAAGGGGTTTGTCTTTTCCTCATCTGAACCCTTTGATTCCCTCCCTGTCTGGGTCTTCCTCCTCCTCCTCCGCCTCTAAATCTCGTGCTGCTTTGCTCTACAGGATGGTGGAAAAAATAAACAGATGGAGGAGGGAGGGATAAAGGGATGGCAGAGGAAGGATGTAGGAGTTCAAACTGAGAGAGGGGGAGGAGAAAAGGTGGGGACAAGAGGATGCAGAGCCGGCGGGAGGATGGAGAGATGGTGGTAAAAGAGGGATGAAGAGCCTGATGAACTCATCTAAAGGCGCTCAGGGTTTTTTTTTTTTTTAATAAGCAGCCGACTGTGAAACAACTCGGACCAGTCACTCTGAGTAATGAGAGAGAGGGAGGAGAGAGAGAGACATAGGATGAGAGGATGAAAAGACAACGAGACTCATTATCCTCCAACCAGTTTTCATCACTGTCCTGTCAGTAACATCTCTCTCTCTTTTCTCTTTCTCTCTCTCTCTCTCTCTCTCAGGCCCCCGATTCTTTTTGAGATGACAGATGAAGACCAATTACGCTAACCGTTTCGTTAACTTGAGGGGTGATTCCTTGCCATCTTCCAGAACACACACTGATAATCCTGTTGGCCCTGGAAATTACTCGCTGAACACACCTCTAAGTGTGTGCAGCCTTAATCTCTTCAATACTTTGTGTGGGAAGAGTGTGAAAAGTGTGTGTGTTTGTGTTGAAAAATGTCCACCGCTTGTTAGGTTGACAGTATTTGCTGGCCGTACATTCTCCAGTGTTTGATGAAGAATTATTTCAGACTGATGACTGCTGGTGCTGACTTGGTTCTTTGCAGTCTAATAGCTTCTTGCCTTGTCAACATTTTCTTGGCTCTTAAACGTATTCGTTGTTGTTCTGTGTGAGTTTCCTCCAGCAGGGAGACAGAAAGTAAACTTCACATTGCTAGTTTCTACCTTTCCTGCATTACTCTGCATTGCATTGTTCTAGCCTAAGTGGCTTTTATTCAACCTGTCTTTCTCGGTGGGTGCACTGTTTCCGGTTTGGCAGACTTGTTTTATATATGGAATAATGGGAAAAATCTGTGCTTTTGCAATTTTGCTTCAAGCTATTTTCCTTATTGCAGCAAGAACTCTCTATGTGGTTGTCATCGTACTGTGTTTCAGCTGTTCGTTGTGCTGTTCTGGCAGGTCAGTTAACTGTAGTGTGACAGGCTCACTTGCTTGTGTGCAGGGTGTTTTGAGTTTCTACATAAGTTCCCAGAAACCTCTGTCTGAGTTTCTTGTCTTTTTGAGTCGGTGAAGATTTACTTAATTATAAAGTACTTACTTTAGTGGGAAGTGGGAAGACACTTGATGTTACACTTAGGGACTCTATGATAAACTCACGCAGGTGATTGTCACTGACTTTATTGTCCTTTATAACTTACTGTTCTACCTTTATATTAAATGTATTTCCTGTGACATTTATGCTTGTTTCCCCCCCTGTATAAACACCTCAGTTCAGTGCAAAAAATAGTTGCCATTACATGCAGGCTATTCTGCTTACAATCCCATTGTTTAGCTTGTTGCATTTCACAGATGCAATTATTACAGCTGTGTGTGTTAAGCTGTAAATAATCAACAAAAAGGTGTTAAATACAGTCGAATATCTTTGTGTGTTCACTAAAGAAAAAACGACTGAGTGTCTGTTTTAGAAGAAGTTGTGCATAAGGGAGTGATTTTTGACATTGCTCTCCTCAAGGCTGTCTGTATGTGGATGGTATATAGTGTGAAATGTACTGACTTTTAATGTTTGTTTCACCTGTAACTGTAGGATGGGAAAATAAACTTATGATATTTTTTCTACTTCCCTTTGAGGATCCAATGCCCTATAGACCATACTCACTTCTTTAGCTAGGTAAAATATTGCCAAAGAGGTGGCGTATGCAAAGTTGAAAATTCATCAAGTGTGAGCCTGATACTGGAAGCTTCCTGTAAAATATGTGGTTAGTAACTTCGATTTACAGATAACAACATGCAGAGATGTGAATGCACAGAGAGAGGGAGAGAGATAGAAACTCAACAGCCACTTACCCAGTAGTCTAATCATATAGCAGCATAAATAGAAGCTGGTCCATACCTGTATCAGCCCTAACTACAAGCTTTGTCCAAAAGGAAAATGTATTCTTATAAGCACAGAGTGTGTCTGCCTCCCAGACCCTGACTGGTAGATGATTCCAAAAGAGAGGGGCCTGATATCGAAAGCTCTACCTCCCTAAGAGCATAATGTTTTCGAAGGGTAATACGGCCCTATTAGCTCTTTAAGATAAGATGGTGCTGATGAGCAGTGTGTGGACAGGCAGCGCTAAGCAGGTAATAATTACATTTTTTGTCAAAAGAGACAGAAGGACTTATTACAGTTCTGCTAAAGACACAGCTTCAGATTTCCCATTCTTCCCATTTATGAGACAATTAGTGAATTATAAGTCTGTACGACAACACCCCCCCCCAAAAAAAGGACCAAAAAAGTCAAATTCTATAGCATAAATTTGAATACAATGTTTAGAAAATCGATTAGTACACCATTAAGAAGGGACTCAATAACACCTATCAGCAGTCATCTTCACTCCTTCATTTGCCTTCCTGTTGCAAACATTTCTCCGGCCTCTAGTCTGGGAATGTGCAGTTTAGGGATTTTGATCTGCCTGAAGGGGCCTCTCAAACCTGCACGCTGTTAGCAGTGTTACAGCCTGATGTTGAGATTCAGGTCGTCACGAGTTTAAGATGGGAACCTATGCTCAGAGCTAAGCATTGAATCAATCGCTTTATAAAAGTCAGTGACACAATAAGGAATTATACCAGCTGGATCCTGTTAGTAAAAAGTGCACTAAGCTGCAAAGTACATAGTGTTTAGGGCACAATTAATCACAATCACTTAATCACATTTAATCACAATAATAAAAACACCGCTATAAAGAGGGCACATATTAGACAAAATACCAATTAGCAGTGGCAGTCACTCTCGAGGGATGTGAGTTTTTCAAGTAAAAAAAAAGTAATAATGTAAAGAGCCTCATGGACTAACTTTTATTTCTACCTATTAAAAGCCTGACATGATATGTCAAACCAACCACATGTTGTTTGGAAAGAAACGACTGTGAGCTAATGATGGTCATAAACAAATTGAACTCTCCGTTAATTGTTAAGGGTTCTTGACCTCAACTCCTCCACCATGAGCTGTGATCAGTGGATGTTCTGATAGTTTTAATCATGCCAAAGGATTGTAATCAGCAGGTGGAGCTTCCTTAAATGGCATCAAATTGCAGATGTTCTCTTTTTCTCTGAGGACTTTAAGGACTTTGTTGTTGGAAAAAGTCGAGGGAACAATTTTACTGTAAAGTCACCATTAGAGTGGTCTTCTTATCACAAAAAGACATTGCCTTTACCTTGCTACACTAACATGAGTGTTACTTTTGTAAAACACAAGTCAGAACCTATCACCTCTCAAATAAGCAGAGGCATAAACTGCTGTCTTGAAAAGTGACTCATCCTTTGTGTTTGCTCTTTATTTCAGTGTATTCATCCAGAGAGGAACTGCCAGCTTTCCCAGCAAC